ATATGTATAAATAAATATATATATATATTTATGCACAAAACTGTGCATATTCGCATCAGCGCTTCTGTACATGCACACGACGCAGGCAAACGCGTATGTACTCGCATCTGCTTCGTTTCGCTCTGACGTCCTGTACTGACGAGACCTATAATGTATTGCATCAACCTCTCAGGTCTTCCGGGCCGGACGCTGGGCAGAAGCGCTGTCAGTGGGGTCGAGTGTTTTCGTCTCCGAGCGACCAGCCAGTCGACGAATGAATGTAGCGCAGCCGTCCGTGGACAGGTCACTGAGTTTGGATGTAATTTGAGAATACAACTGTCGTACCAGTAGCGCTATGGCATGCATGTCGGTTATGCTTGCTTGAGCATATGCGCTCGCATAATTGCGTGTTTAATTTGTTTCCCACTCTGGGCGAAAACACGCCAGTCACAGTTCAACTGGTATTTGTACCCAAGCCACACAGTCGCAAGACAGTCTCACTAATTTGCCTTTAGACTAACCTATTTGTAGCCGCCACCCGTCCTCCAGGCCAGACTGTGTGTGTTTTGCCCTTCCTCGGCTTCATGGCCACTCCCAGCAGGGAATTTAGGTTGCTTATGTTGCTCTTGGCGGTGTACATGTTGTGAATTCGAGTATTCCTAAGGGTGATTGTAAACTCCCAGTATGCTAAACACTGAGGTCCTAAGTAAAAACATAATTTTAATGAATAATGCTTAGAAATGAGAGTTGTTCCGGGTTTTGATAGTATAACGTATGATCTTCACATATTACCACAACGCCACACACTGTCCCGAGTGCCCCTGAGTCACGGAGCAAACGGTACTTTTGGGAATGACCAGGCTTCTCCAGTATCACATTTTCACAAGCACAATTCAGTCGAACTGTGACGCCTGCTCATATTAATGTGAGCTAATTAAAATTTATTTAAATGAACCAGTGGGATTAGAACTATTGAACATCCACTTTCCATGATTAACGCCCCTCAGATTAAGCATTACCCTTAGCTACCCAATGTTGCCTGATTAATGGCAGACAAAATTTATTGCATTTTATTCGGCATCAATGAATTCATTCCTCTTAGATTCACGTCTCGTCAGATATGGAACTGGGATCCAATGAACTCAGCTGAATATGCTATTCTGGGACGCATGATAAGTTGAAATTTCACTTCAGCACTGGGCTTGACATTCCATTCTGCACAGTCTAGTTGTGGCACCAAGTTACAAAGATCATCCCTTAAAGAGATTCTATCAAGTTTTCAATTTTGGCGGATTTACGAGTCTAGCAACCATTTTTGAAAAGGTCCTCAATTAAATGATGAGTAGGCTTGGTACGAGATGGTTTTTGAAAGGCAAGACTAAATAAAATTGAATAGCAATTTAAGGCCTACTCTTAACTACCACTTCTTACATAATTTTAAGCGAACTAGGATGACCAAGTTCAAGAATCACAGATAGTATAGAAGAAGGGATGAGGCACCAAGTTACAAAGATCAGCCATTGAAGAGATTCTATCAAGTTTTCAATTTTGGCAGATTTCCGAGACTAGCAACCATTTTTGAAGAAGACCTCGATGAAACTATGAGCGAGCTACCAAATGTCGCTATGCTACTCACTACTCACTACTCACCATATAATCTATCTGCAGTGTTGATAACACTTATTTTGAGTTAAACCTTAATAAAATTCAATGGCAGATGAAGCCTGCTCATCGGTCTTTCAAACACCTTAAGCGACCTAGGCTTATTAAGTGTTTAGCATAGTATTCATAGCCTTATTTACAAAGTTATTAATGCTTTATAATGGGTGGATATGCAGCCGATTAGAACTGTACATTCTCAGTGATTCGAAGTTGCATCTTGTAACCTCAGGAAGAATCTTAGGCAATCTGTTATTCCTCTTTCATGCCCATGTCCAAAATGCCCTTATTTTGGATGTCTGTCACTCTTGTCTTTATCCCGCTTTTCATGCCATTTATACTTTTTGCTGCATATTTTCTCTTCGACCTATCATTTCTCCTCTTGTACAGCTTTGCTTTCTTTATCCTCCCTTTAAATCGCCTAATTCACACTCATCCAGGTTGAAAGAGGCAACCAACTGATCTCAAATCTGTGGGAATACTCACTCCTATTCAGATCTCAGTATTTCCATTAATTAACAAATTTCAGTCACAGCTTCTGTCTGCTTACTGACAAACAGATGCATACATTAATAATGCAAAGTTTGTTCGTAAAGAGAAAAGGGTCAGCAACTTAATTGTATCCTTCTACTTGTTCACACCATTTTTCAGCCCACAAGATAAAGTACAAACAGTGAATAGGAAAGATGCAAAATGTGTTAGTACAGCAAGACTAGAACAACTTAAAAAAGAGCTCACCTAAAATGAAGCCATAATCAGGAG